GAACGAAGAGAGTGACATGAACATAAAAGGATTTAATCTCTGAAGTCTCAGCATTCTATATTACAAGCAGCTGTTGGAAATAGGAAAGCTAACAGTCATGCATGTGGGTTCCTTCAGGGTACTCTCCAAATCAATCCTTAGGATTGTGTTGATTGAATCCACCTATATTGACTGAAGAAATGGATGAATAAAAACAAACTTATTCTGTAAAATATGTTTTAAGGTTTGACTAATGGGGGGGTAATCAGAATAATATTCATAGATTTAGACAGAGCTGTGTAAACGACCTAAACCAACATTTGGTGTTACCCCAGGCTCTAAGAGGGCAGCATGTTCTAAATTTCAGGGGGTTACTATTTCGTGCGTAATCCACAATCTTTTTTTCTTTTTTTAAACACAATTCAATCACTCTCTTTTCAGAGATAATTTAAAGTGAAAACAAAATGTGAACATTTCTTATTGAAAATGGGAGTATTTGATAAGTTGTCCAATCTTTGAAATGACTGTTTGGTTGAGATGAAACTGAATGGAAAAAGAAAACAAAAAACTTCTTGTGAATTAATTATTTTTTTCAGATCGATAATCTGGTATTAGCTTGGAAGCAAGATGAATGCCACGATATTTGTGAATTCACAAACTCCATAAAAAACATATTTCCAGAAGCCAGTAGATCCATTAGCCTCAATACAGAAATACAGTCATGTGTATGACATCAACTCATCTACCAGAATCTGCAGCAAAACAAATATGGCAGCACCGGCTTTAGCTCCTCTCTTTCTTTTTGAAAAGGATGCAATTTTCGCGTTTTTGAAATGGAGAGATGTTTGCCCCATTCCTCCTGGTCAGATTTGGCAAGAGTTTGATTTACAAGTTAACTCCGGTAGTTGTGAAACAAATCAAAAATGTGATACAGCACGGCTGCTACTGCCGCTGTAATTTTCTGAAAGCTGAACATGGAGGCATGTCCTTCTTTGTAACTCACAGCAAGAGATGTACTAAATTCCTTTCCCCTGGAGCCTTGCAATAATTTATCAACCAGATAGCAGGAATGATCAACCAGCTCATCTAATGAGTTACAGTTTAAAGTGGAAGGAGAAGGATGAACCTCGGTTAAGTTTTCAATTGTACTTTCCCTGATAACATGTTTTCTTATAACATCTGTTTTGGTAATTAAATTAGTGGGAAATACTGTTTCAAAGTAAACAGAAAATATGGTCTGATAGGGAAACATCAGTTACAGAAACCTTGGAAATATTTAGAACAACTGATGACCAAGTCTAAAATCTGTCCTAGATTGGGCAACATGTTGAGTCAAACCAAAACTTTTAAGTACATTAAACAGTTATTTTGTGCCTCTGTCTTCAGGTTTGTTGTTAACCTCTACATTAAAGTCCGCCACAATAATTAAGTAGTCATATTCAAAACATTACAGATAAAAGTTACTGGAAATCATTAAGAAAGTTTGTTTTGCACTTTGGAGGCCTATAAACATTCACACACCTGGCTCTAACTGGGCCCCGTACTTGAACAGCCAGATATCCCAAAGATTCAGAGTCACTCAGGATCATTTTTCTACACATCAGTGAATCATTATTCAGAGTAACGAGTCCTCCCTGTTTTTTTAAACAGTCTGTTCTGGTGGAGAAAATCGTAATGTTGAGGTGTGGTCTCCAATAAAACCGGCATCTCATTATTTTCATCAAGCCATGTCCTCGTTAAAAACATAAAATGAATAGTTTGCTGAGTAATTAAGCCTGATTTAAAATAATTTTCCTGACAGAGATCTTACACCCGTTTTGATTGTGATCAAGCATGAAATGGTCGCTATTACCGGTTATCAGTCGCATAGAATGGCGTCAGACTGCGCCTCCTCTACCTTCTACAAGATTTCTTATGACTGATAATATGCAGCATATCGTTGATAATAGCTGCTTCGGCCAGCTTAAGTTTTATTTACTATTTACCCACTTTTTACCTTTTATCTGCTTTATTGACAGCCGACCTTCTTTAAAAAGTCTGCATTTTAAAGCTTTACTTTGAGTGAATTCCAAATATTTCAGTCATGTGGATTTAATGTGGCTTTCAGAAACAACTCAGTTAGTAGGATATATTTTTTTTGGAGGGGAGTGAAATGTCGATCAACTTTTTCTAAATGAATTCTGTGAGTAAAAAAGGAATTACCTTAGGGTTAGGATTAGGATTAATTCGATGATAACCTAATGAGCCTACAGGTAGATAGGGGGCATAATCTGAAGCCATCCTATAGGACCGATAACCGCTAATAACGGCCATTTAATGGGATGAAATCATCCAAATCTGGATCTTATGTTAATTGAAGCCATTTCAAAAACCTTGGTTGATATTAACTCTCTATCTGGTTGGATGGTTTACTATTGTTTATCCTTTCAGCTCTGCTCTTTTTTCACTGCATTATGACTGAGAAAATCAGCTCTGATAAAGTTACCACTGGAACCCAAAGTATATAACATGAACATGATTTTAAGGTCCTGATTGCCAACATTACCATCTTTGTTTGCATGTGGAGGAGCTGACAGTGGAGGGGATTTATGGCTTTTAGGTGCTGGCTGGCTGGGAAGAGACGGTGAAAAGGAGGTTTGGGTAGGGTAGGGTGTCTGTGTGTTTGAAGTGGTTGGAGGGGGGGAGGATTTCAGGGGACGGATTCAGCTGTAGTGTTGGGCTGGATACAGTAGATGGTGCAGTGGAGGGCTTGTGGGAGACCCACTTTGAGGGGATTTCTGTTGGGATTTCATGCCTGTTTGTTAGGGTTGTAGGAATGGTTCCTTTGCTCCAAAGGAATGATGGGTGTGACCTATACCCCATTACCCCATGCACCATCATATTTGTTCATTTAGTTTTTGTTCCCATTCAAAGTAATCATGTTTTAAGCCCTCCTGTCTCAAGGCATCATGTTTATCATCAGGGAGACTCTTTATCTGGTCGTCATTCACATCATGTACTTTGTTCAGTGAACAGAAAATGTTGGAACCCAAAGGTTTTCTACCCAGGTGAAATAGAGCTCTCATGAAAAGGTGTCTATTTTCCAAGAAGCTTTTAAAGTTATCATTAAAGCCAAATGATCTTGCAGAACAGGCTCCTTTGATCCCTTTATTCAGGTAGAAAACTCTGCTGGAGACTCATCTCCTAGTGAAGGTGGCGCAACACTAATGAACACTTTAAAACGGAGGTCTTCAACAGGGGGTCCGCGACCCCTAGGGGGTCCACGGAGGTACTGCATGGGGGTCGGGGAAGTTTTGGCTGATAAGACTTTTTTTTTTTTTTTTTTTATTCTCTCCTTGCAATTTCTTTCCACTAATTGAAATGTCTTTAAAAAAAACACATTAACATGAACTCAACACACTGTAGTAAACAGATAAATGGAGGCAGAAGATGTCTTTCAGTCATCGATGCACACATTCAGCGACACACAGGAGCTCTTTCAAGCTGGACACCGTTTCATTCACAACACCCATCAACCAGGAATCAGAAATACTTTCATTACATGATTCCATCTGTAATAGAGTGACTATAGGACCAGTTTAATATAACACAATTTCATACAATATATATAATTAGGGGGTCCTCGCTCCATCTTGCCATCAGTTAGGGGGTCCTTGGCCTCGAAAACATTGAAGCCCCCTGCTTTAAAATATAAACCCCTTTATTGTCACACAAAGGGAATAATTCGCTCTAACTTCACTTGCGCCACTTCTGCTGTTAATATGGTAAAGCGTTCCAGAACAGTCCTGATCTGGAGGTGATTGTGAGAGGATGATCGTCCCTCGTTACCCCCTTTATAATACACGACCCACGATGAGGCTGTAATTCGGCTTGATTGAAAAATTCCAGCACGATTGGAGAATCGGCCCGAAAAGGGCAAAATCCCATTATTCCATTATTATCTCAGTGGGTCCTTCCTTATATTCTGTTTTGGGAGGAAATTGCTTTTTGCAGCTGTTAATGTTTAGAGTAGAAGACATGTTTTGCCAGTTTTGTCCTCTAAATAAGACATTGACTCCGTCAGGCTTCTTTTCAGATCTTGGGTGGGTTGTTTATTTTTTTGGCTTTGCTCCAAGAATGTCAGCCAGGACGACCGGTGAGGTTATTGTCATTAGAAGCAGCACCTTGTTTCTTTTTAATTTATTTTCTTAACTTGCAGTTGTTTGCTATTGCAGCAGTTTCTCTTGTCTTTTTTACATGTGTTTGTAACTTGTTTGCACCTTGCTGCTCTCTAATTCCTTTGATGGCAACATTTCTTCTTTACTTCTTTATTTGTTTCTTCTTTATCATGTTTTTTAATCTTCATTTTCTTTTATTCTGCTTTTATTTTTCTTCTATTTTATTGTTTAATTCATGTAAAGCACTTTCAAACGTCCTTGTAATGAACTTGCATTGGTTTGCATATATTTGCATTACATTTGCACCCTCAGCAGAAAGAATACTTTCTTATCAATGTCACTTTAAAGTCTCTACAATAGTTTCTTTAGCACAAAAAATAAATGTAAAAAAATAAGCTGTGCTGCAGGGCTTTTTTTCTACTTCTTTCCATCTTGGTAATTGACCACAACTTAATGTTTATTGCTTCTCTGCTTACCAATAAAGATTGGTTGCTGTGTCTGTTGTTGTTTGTTGGTTGGATTCGTTGACAAGCTGTTAAAAATTTGGAAGAGTGATCCTTAAAAAGACAGTAACTGCAATAACTGAAGCTTTTCCGTATTCTAATGACAGCAGCCTGTCTACACAGTTTTGGACACCTCTTGACCTAACTATGGCTGAAGGCCCCATAAGCACATTTCTCACTCATGTAAACACAATAAAAGCTGGGGCCACCCCCAGGTCGGATCTACTCCCAGTGGTTTTCATAGCTTCTCTATGAAAGTTTATTCTAACCAAGTCAAAAGCCACACATCAGTCTTAGCTGTCTGCTGTGCTGCTCACATATCGAGAAGTTAAAGGTCATGAAAATGTTACTGATTGATTTAACTACGGTCACTCGTTAAACAGGGGATTTGGTTTAGACAGCAATGTTGCAACTTCATTGCTTCATGGATTCTGTGTCAGTCAACAACTGAGAGCTTTGGTTTATGAAATACTCCTCATTTGTGGTAAGTTTGGTTGGGTTTAATTTATCTTTTTGTTTAAATGTTACAATCATAAATATGCAGGTTTTACTTATTTACATAAACTTTGATGTTTGCAAATAAAAAAAATGTCTGTAAATCAAAATATCTCTTTGATCGTGTTATAAAGAAATAAAAAGGGGCTGATGAAACATTCAGCATGTTTTTTTTTTTTGCAAGGAAAATCTGTTTAAGATATTTTATTTTTGCCTCTTTACCCAAAGCAATTTGGTTAGTCATGATTTAAGTAACCAATAAAAAGTAAAAGCTGTTCGGCATTAAAACAATGATCAACAACAGATGACATGATTTAAATTCTGTTAATGGGTGGCAAGTAATAGGTCAAAATGAAACATTTTGTTTTCAACACTGATGTTGGTCAAATTATGAGGGCAAAATGAATTGATCACAGTACAAAACAGCATCCCCTTTGGATATGTGGTTAGCATCCATTAAAATGCTGAATGATGGTGAACTGGTATGAGTAACTATGCCTTCTGATGGCTGGTGAGAGAAAAAGGGTTTGATGCGTCCAATCTACTAGCAAGGGGTTCTGACAGAGCAGTTTATGATGGTGCATCACACATTTCTCCCCATGGAGCTGAAAAACCAAGGTGGAAAAAATCCTAAAAGACCGCAAAAATCAACTGAGCATTCAGTCATGTTCTTGTGGGGTTTTTTTTCCACAAGAGTCACATGAGAACTATGTTTGTGGAATAGCTTTATTATACATTTTTTCTATGTTTAAGAAATCTATAGTTCACATTTATAAACAAATACCTTTTCATTTACATTTTCTGTATCAGGTGAATATTTTAGAAAGGATTTATGTTGTCTTAATTTGCTTTGCATACTTTTTTAATAGAATCTACTTAAATTTGGTATTTAAAGATATATGAATGTGTACCGTTACCTATAGATTTTTGGTATTAAAAATGTTTTCCTATAAAATTGCATGAAATTTCCAAAAATGCATATTATTTCATGCAGTTTGCTAAAAGTTTAAATAGAAACACATGAGTCACGTTTGATAGTGACAAAATTATAAGCTTTTTGTTCCGTTTGTACAATATGGAAACATTTGCTATGATACAAAATCGTAATCAAATAGGCTTAACTTCTGCTAAACTGATTTTAAAGAAAACATCAACAAAAATAGCAAGGAATAAAAATTCTAGTTTTTAAACAGGTAACACCCAGCCCCAAATCCAACTTTGATCCATGTTTTTCTTAGTTTTCTAGTTTTATTGATTTCATTCCTTTTTTGTGGTGTTTTCTGATTATATTTGAGTTCTTAGGTATTTCTTGTTTGTAGTGATGTTAACTCTCCCTGGAACTTTGGCAGGCATTTTAACAGCCTCAGTATTCAGTCAAGATGTTTGTAGGAGAGTTGCTATCAGTTGGATAAAGTTTGGATAGATTCTAAAAATAGATAGTTGGAAAAACAACCAATCTAGTTGGTTAAAACTAGCTTGGTTAGATTAAACAATTAATGATCAAAATCAGAGCAAGTTACTGGTTTCAAATGTAAAGAGTTTTATGTAGTATTGCTTTAAAAAAGATGTGTAATCTTGTAAATCAGCTGTAAGAGATGAACTTCCACTCTTGAAGTTGATAGTTGAAGACCCACATCATACTTTCGAAAGTTGTAATAAAACTTTTCTTTTTTCTTTTTTTTTTGACTGCCAAAGCTAGATTGGGTTGGTTTGACCAAAAGATTGGTTGAGCACATAACTTCCAACCCTATTAAAACCAAAAGATCTGGAAAAACTATTATGCTTGAATAAAATGACTAACAGCTTTTATTTTGGTCATCGATACCCAATTTGCACAAGCACTTTCACTGTCTGCTTGAGCTTATTTCACTAAAATGGCAGAAAAACAGTGATTTTTCTCTTCTAAGACCTTTTACGCATAAAAAAAACTTACAAAACATTTTATTATACTGACCAATCATGTACAATTGCAAAAAATCTGATTATATTACTAACTGTAGTTCTGCACTCCACCAGTAGGTGGTGACATGTTCACATGAGGCTTCATGGACTGTGGGGATTGTTGAAGCAATTTGGCTTAAACGGTTCAAATACCTCATGAGGCTTCATCTCACCATCAGTTCTTGTTTGCCCTCTGTTGCCCTCTTGTCTTGATCTCCTTTTCCCGAGCTCCTTCTAGACTCCTCTGTTCACACCTGCTCCCAATCTGCTGATTAGCCTGGTCTCCCATATATGCACCTCCTACTCAGTCACTGTTGCTGGTTTGTTGTCATTTAATTGCCCCCTTCTTGTGAGTATTCCGGGTTCTCAGTTTTTGTAGATTTATGTTTTTGGATTTTTGCTTCTCTTACCCTTTTTATTATTAAATCTTCAAGAAACCACTTCAGCTTCGGTGTCTGCATTCGGGTCCTGTCAAACCTCAACCCCACCGAGACAAAACTGAGCAATTTATAATATGACAGGATGCTAGAGAAGAAATAGTACTTTTAGCCGAGACCCTGAAGTCTCCAACAATAGTGGAATAAATGGTCTTTTGTTAAATTATTAACCCCTTGATGCCTGAATTTATATAGATGTATACAAAATAATGTGCCTTTTTGCCTTTAAGTAGAGTTGAGATTGTTACTTTGACGAATGCACACAAAAAAAGAATATTTTGGTGTGTAGCAAATATGCAACAACAGACTGTTTTTTTCATTTGTGGTTTATTTAATGTTTTTATATTTGGCTTTATTTGCTTTAATTAATTTATTTTATTATATTCCTTTAAACTTCTATGCTATTTTTATACGATTTTAACTTTACCTAATATGAACAGCAAATTGTGGTGGCAGTGATTGTTTTAAAGGGCTTTATAAATAAAATTAAGTTGAGTTGAGATGAGCAATTATTATTTTACATATCGCAAATTTGTAATAAAAACAATAAAACCGTTATAACAGCCAATACACTGACATCTATATCCTACCATGTTGCTTTTTATAAAGGTTACTGAAAACAAAAATTTGTCAAAATAACTAGGTTAAATTAAATAATCCCTGAAAGCTTTTTGTACATAACACTGTTTATGACAAGATGCACAGTTGCCTAATGTAGCAAATACGCTACAAACCTAAACTGTGAAATAACTCAAAAACCCATCACAAAGATTTTATCTCAGAATAAATGGTGCAGAAATACTCAATAAGCAGTGAATATTTTATCCTGACACAACTCATCATATGTACAAATATAGTTTCTCATCTCCTGAATGGTTTCCTCTTTTTCAATTCCAGAGTTTTGCTCTTGGTCAGCAGAAAATATGTCCATCAGGCACCAGTTTTACTAAAAGTGTGTTTTCAAAAGGTCTCCAAGTGCTCACATGTTCTCTACAATAGGGGTCAAGGGGTTAAAAAGCCTTTAAATATTCTATAAAACTACTAAAGTTTGCAATAATTTCACAATCAGCCATATTTTTATTTTTAGACTAGAACATTTTCTTTTAAATTTGTTATCAGATTTGGTTGTGATTCAAGTACATTTGTAAAACCATAAATATTTTCAGTGTTTCTTGCAATTTTGTACAAATCTACAAAGAATCTTGCTTCATTTTATCCATATTGGTGCAACCAGGCAGCCAAAGCTGATCATAAAGTCATGATGTATATTTCTAGCTACCATGTTGTCTATCTGGCCTTTAATTAAACGTGCCTCAGGAAATACTTCATATAAGGTGTGATTTTTTTCCCCCTTGCAGGACGGAGCTCAGTGTGCAGGGATGGCTATGGTTTGCCTCACAGACTTTGAGGAGTATGCAAAGCAGCATCTTTCAAAAGCTACCTGGGATTATTATGCAGCCGGAGCGGACGAATGCTGCACCAGAGATGACAATCTGCTGGCTTTTAAAAGGTACGCACATTGTGTATGCTTGGCAGAAGGCTTTGGGTTTATTTTACCATATTTAACAAAAAATTTGTACGAGAGTAGGAAGATGTCTCCAACACAATATTTCCTACTTAACAGAAAATAAACCGAATAGCTAAAACCTATTTAGCATGTTATCAAAAAAAAAAAATTAAAAAAATCAAATATTACAATGAAGTTATAATCCCAGCAGAATTATTGTTGACAGGTTTAGTCTCTTTTTGTACCTGTTTAGGGTGACACATTTTTTTAGACTTTGTGCTGTTTAAGCAGTGCTTATTAATTATTAAACCATGGCTACATGTTAGTCAGACCAAATTCAGGTTTTAATTCAGTTTATTTATATAGCACCAATTCACATGTCATCTCAGGGTCATTTATTGAGACAATACATTTAAAAAGGGTTGGAAAAAAACCTGTTGATCGCATCCTGTCATTGACTTGCAAAACATGCTCCTCCTGGATGAGTTTGATTTTGTCACTGACTCCTCAGCAATCCTTCACACCAAGCATGCTTGTAGTGATAGTGGAGAGGAAAACTCCCTTTTAACAGAAAGAAACCTCCAGCAGAAATACGCAAGCAGCCATATTTTGAGGCCGACTTGGGTTCAAGGAGACGGAAGCAGACAGAGAAAAATAAGCAGAGATACAAAAGGCATAAAGTATGAGCTTCAGGAAACACACAGCAGATGCAGCCAAGCTTTTACTGTCAGAGGATAAAGGGGGGCACATACAGTTAGTCACAGTAAAAGAAACAGGACTACACTGGAAACAGACCACACAGCCAAACAGGCAACAGACCAGATGAAGCTATTATGATAAAAAATCAGAGAGAAAAGAACTTGACAAATATTGCAGAGTATTAAACAGAAAATAGCTCAGGATAATCAAACTATTTTGGATGAGGTTTAAGAAGGATAGAGCTACAATAGGGCTAGGACAGAGAGACTTGTTTTGGAAGATGCTTCTCCTAATGTCAGGGTCAGGAGTCAGAGTTCTGTGGAGGTGACAAAGAACTGAGCATAAAATAGAGCTCTGAAATCACCCGCATAGCAATATTCAAACTCACACTAACTCCTGCTTATTGCATTTGCAGTAAAAATGGAAAAACGAGACTGTGGATACAAACGGCCAGCAAATGGGCTTATAGGCCTAATTGGGGGAGAAAAAAACTTCAGCAAAACTTGACAAGGGGAAACTCTTTGTAGGCCCCATACAGACCTAGAGAGGCGCAATGGGAAGAGGAATGGCTGAGATCCTCTAGTAACAGTCTGCCTCTAATCAATCTACAGCTTTAACAACCAGTCAGGAATTTCTGAAGTGCTTTGAGGGTTTCTATTTAGAGATCTTAAAGCCTTGATACGATTATTAATATAAAAGCTTTAGTAAAAAAGAAATTGTTGGATTGGTTTTTGTATGACACATATAAGCTATATTTTATGAGTCATATTTTCTCTTTGAAAATTTCTATACGAGTTATCAAATAATCTTTAAAATGTTGGCCTTCAGAAGGAATCAATTTATTTTTATATCTGTCCTAGGATTCGCTTGAGGCCTCGCATCCTGCGGGACGTGTCAGTAACGGATACACGCACCACCGTGCAGGGGAGAGAAATAAGCTTTCCTGTCGGCATTGCACCCACAGCCTTTCACTGCCTGGCCTGGCATGAAGGAGAGATGGCTACAGCTCGTGGTGAGGCATACTTTTGTGTAGGGTGTGTGTGTACCTACAATGTACATACACATTGTTTTACCTGCAATGGGAAAGATGTATTTTGTAAAATATCCTACATGCAGGGAATTATAGGTACGTATGGGGACATTCAACTGGTCCCCACATGGTAAAACTCTGTTCTTTGGGGTTAGGACTAGGTTTAGGACTTAGGTGTAAATTCAGTTTAGGTTGGGGTTAGTTATGTTGGTAATAGTAAGGGTTAAGGAAAGGGTCTGGGTTAGGCCATACAAATTAGTGTGTGTGTGTGTGTGTGTGTGTGTGTGTGTGTGTGTGTGTGTGTGTGTGTGTGTGTGTGTGTGTGTGTG